CAGATTAATGGTGTTGTGTTTTGCATTGAGAGTGAAGAGAACCATATAACTTTTATTACGAGGCAGTAGTCTATGGGCCACAGTATCCTCTTATACCACCAAGTGGACTTAAAAGTAAATGTACTTGTGTTTGTGGTACTTTATACTATACATGTGTCAAACCAACTTTACAATAACCCAAATGAAGATAATGTTTCTGGAGTGGCAATAATCTCAAGAAAAATCAATAACAATTTTTAAAACAGAATTGGGCTCAAAATTCTAAAATCATATTTTCAATGAAAAAAAATACAAGACACACATGAAACAAGACAATATAAGTTCGATGTAATACTACGCGTTACATCATAATTCCTATACCGGGGCGAAAATCTAATAACAGATGAACAAAGAAACAAAATTAATAACATAGCCTTAACATGAAAGTCACAAAGTAGTTATCGCTGCCTTTATCTTATATAAGCCGCATACAGCTTATTGACTTTGTTGGCAGAAACAAACTTTTTATATGAAAGTTTCGTGCATACGTACCTAACTAGAACGCTGTATAATATTATAGTTAAAACGCTTATAATTATTCATCCTTTCAGAAAGAATGGGCCAATGTGTGAAAGAGTATGAATATGTAAGTCTAAGACAGTGTTAGGGGTCTACGCCCCAGACACGTGTAAGTGCACTTATATCCGAAAGCAGTTTTGGGAAATGGTAAGGATGGTTTTAATGAAATGTAAGGGAAGTTAAAATATTATTATGCTAGGAAATTTTAATGGAAGGGTTGGGGTGAGGAGGATTGGTTATGAAAGGATATTGGGAACGTTTGGTGATGAAAGTATAAATGAGTATGGTGAAAGTCTCCTCACCGTATGCATGGAAAAGAATCTTTTTGTGACGAACACTTGCTTTCGCCATAAGAGGATTTACATGTATACTTGGGAAAGAGGTGGCGATAGAAGCATGATAGATTTCATGATTGTGGATGAAAGATTGAGGGGCGCAGTGGTAGATACAAGGGTTTACCGGGGCTCTAACGTAGTAACAGATCATTATTTGGTTTTATGCCGAATTAATGGTCTATTCAGGCGTTGGCGCCATCGGTCATCTGTGTCTACGACTGCGTTACATCGTATTAGAACAGAAAGGTTACAAGTTAAAGGTGAGAAAAACAAGTTCAAACGTAGATTGAAAGAAAATATAAGTGGTTTGGATGAATTATGTATGAAGTAGTTAGACTTGGAGAATGTATGGCAAAATGTTAAGAAAGGTTTAATGGATGCTACCGAAGTATGTGGTGTTAATAAGAGAAAGAATGAAAGGAAAAATAATACGTTATGGTGGGATGATGAGATACGTATGGAACTTGAAGCAAAGAAGAGAGCATGGCTAGATTTACTAGCAACAAAGGCTGGTAATTCTAGCGGTACGAATGATGAGATTGAAAGAAAAAAGGCAGAGTTTAAACGTCGAATTAAGAGAGTAAAAGAAGTTGTTGAAAGGAAAAAGCAAGAAAGAACGGATAAGAATGATAGAAGAATATCGGATAACTTCCAGGCAAATATAAAAATGTTCTGGAAACTTGTAAGAACTGCCAGGGGACATTCAAAATAGCTTATAATGAATGCTATAAGAGACAAAAATGGCTATATTCTGAATAGGGTGTGTATAATCATGTGCTATATTCTGAATGATGAAGTTTTGAGTTTAAAGAGATGGAAGTAATATTTTGAAAGCGTGTTTATGAGTGAGGAAACAACGTGTGAACTAAATGAAGTAGAAACTCCGAAAGAAGAGGAAAGAAGTAGCGAGATAAGTATAGATGAAATAATGAAAGCAATGAAAAGCATGAAAGCAGGTAAGGCTGCCGAATACGATAGAGTTTCACTCGAAATGCTAAGGGCTGGAGAGGAGGTGGTGGCAGGCCTGCTGCACACCTTGTTTAATTTATGCTGGGAACTGAAAACGGGTACCGGTAGACTGATGTAAAGCCGTGATAGTCCCAGTATGTAAAGGAAAAGGGACGTAGCAGGACTGTAAAAACTACCGTGGCATCAGCCTTCTTAGCATTGTGGGAAAACTGTATGCTAAGGTACTGATTGAAAGGGTCATGAAAGAAACTGATTTGGGATATGCAAGCGGGATTTAGAAAGGGAATGGGATGTACAGATCAAATCTTTTCCATGCGCATGATTAAGGAGAAGTTTTTGGCCAAAAACCAAAAGGTTTTTTGTGAGTTCGTGGACTTGGAAAAGGCCTATGACAGAGTGGATAGGGATTTGCTATGGCAAACACTGAACTCATTTGGGTTGAGCGCTGGATTGATACAGGCATTGGAGTATCTTTATAGGGACTCTAGTGCTTGTGTTAGGATCAAGGGGGTCTGCTCGGACTGGTTTGACATCCATGAAGGTATCAGACAGGGCTGTGTGGCTTCCCCGTTATTTTTAAACTTATTTATGGACAGTTGTTTGGAAAATTTGAAAGTTGAAGAATGCGGATTAAGAATGGGTATGTTAACCGTCAAATGCCTTTTGTACGCCGATTATCAAGTTATTCTTGCGTCGTCGGCGGCTGAGTTGCACATGATGGTTACATTAATGGACAGATCATTTAAAGAAAGGGGTATGAAAGTGAACGCAAGTAAGACGAAGGTTATGGTTTTTAAAAGAGAAGAAATAAAAACGATTTGTGAAAAAAATAGAAGGGTAGTTGATCGAGCAAGTAGATGAGTTTGTATATTTTGGGTGCGTATTTAGCAGGGATGGGAGATATGATAAGGATATAGAACGACGAGTGAATGCGGGAAATAGAGTAAATGGGGCTCTGCACTCTATTGTGAAGAGTCAAAATGTGTCGAAAAAGGCACGTTTAGCAATTCACAATGCTGTGTTGGTCCCTACTTTAACGTATGCTAGTGAAAGTTGGGTGTGGCAGAAGAAGCACGAGAGTAAAATGAACGCAGTAGAAATGCGGTCGTTAAGAAATATGTTAGGGCTGAATCTGAATGACAGGGTGAGAAATTGTGTGATAAGAGAAGAGTGTGGTTTGCAAGATGATGTTGTGACCAGGATTTAGAAAGGAATGCTTTGGTGGTTTGGTCATGTGGAAATAATGAATGAGGAAAGAGTGACAAAGAAAATTTATGTTGCAGAAGTGAATGGCAGAGTCGGAAAGGGACGTCCTAGGCGAAAATTTATCGACCAAATTGGCGATTTATTGAAAACGGGCCAAATTAGGAGTACCCTTAACCGACGAGCATGTATGCGTAGGTATATGCATGTGAAGGAGGCGAGAGAGGTGTGTCAAGATCGTGCCAAATGGAAGTCTGTAGTCTCTGCCTACCCCTCTGGGTGACAGGCATGAGTGTTTATGTTATGTTATGTTTATGCTTATAATTACTAATGTGTACAATTTTAATAAAATTAGTATTACATAATATCACCGCAAATAATGAAAATTAATTGCTTACCTCACTAGCTCGCTTTTCATCGTGCTTATCTATATATGGTGGATTTATTTATATGAAATCTTTATTACACTTAAACACATCTTAAACATATGATTATACATATTATAAATAGAAAAATAAATCAATTCTCACCTAAACAATCCCCAAAAGTCGTTGGTTCGAATCCGCCATTCGACTACTGTGGTGAACTACTGGAATGTAAGCATTTTATGTGTCTTACCTATAAAACATATTTTAGAAGTTTGTCAACTAGAAGAAATGACAAAATGATGACCTGACTTTTAAAACGCAGGTACAGAAGACGGTTTCCTTATGTAACGAACATTTTCTGACAGAAGGTACCGTGGTCCATGGACGGAGGTATAAGATGACATACATTACATACATACATTATTATTTTATACCGGACGTAATTCTTTGAGAGCATGGTTGTTCCCCAGGAGATGTAGAGTCCATTGATGTGGGTGCAGCATGTCCGTAATACACGTGCTGCGTGGCTTTACAACGACAACCTGACGACCAATTCAAAATCACATATTTTACATTGAATCATGCGATCGCGGGTTGCGGGTTCAAATCCCAGGTCAGTTCACAATATCAGTTATTGGGATTTTCTTTCAATATATTCTCAGTAGCAGCACGCGGTCAGGACGTTGGAGGGTGATTTACGACATTGTTTCGGAAAGCACGTAAAGCCGTTAGTCCCGTGCCTGATCTCTCATCTACAGAGGGTCTCATAGTCACGAGATTAGAAAGTGCACCTATAGTTTTGCATACACACGTGCACTGTTATCCTGTCACTGGTACTGAGAGCTCGTCGCCGTTGAGACCGCTCATGTGACCGAAATTCGGTCTTAAGGATATTAAGAAGTGATAAATTGAATCCGCTATTTGACCACTGTGATAAAACATTCTCAGCAGAAGTGTTTTAAGCTAGTTGGAGTAGTTAACGGTAAAATTGATAATGTTATCAAAAATATTAGTATTTTTTATTTTATGTTAATCAACAAAATCGTGAGTAGTCCCTACTTTAAAATTCGTTATTATTTTCAATTTAATTTTTTGATATTAGTCAAATTTTCTTTTTTATTTGAATCAAAACATTACATATTCTAACAATATTTCTACATCAAATAAATATTTTGTAAGCGGTAAGTACATGGATTTTGATTTCTTAAATTTACGCGAACACTACACATTGAATAAAACTATTATTTACGGATTTTATCGCGTTTAATTATTTTAATTTGTTTTTACTATCCCAAGGTTTCGGGTGCTTTACAGCACCCATGGTCACGGGGGGGACTGAGATGTTTGACGTCCCAATGTCATAGTTAGTCCGGCTACTTTCAGTTTTTGAATATTAATTTTTGGTCCGATTTACGCAAAACGAGCTTATAGTATCATGAAATCTTGCAGTGGTATACTTGGGTTTGGGCTTAATTTTGTTAATTATAGGATCCTAAGCTGCTGGCAGCACCCATCCATCTTCTCTGTTGAAATTTGGATGTTTTTTTAATTTCAATAGCCTCGCGTATCATCCTTGGTAGGAATCGGTGTTTTTTGCGAGGATTTGTGGTTTATCAAATCGAATGTAATGGTGGGGACGATCTTGAAGATGTTTGCAGACTGCAGACTTCCCGGAGCGTCGGTGCTTCACGTCAGCTATATTTTCCTTCACGCGGGTTTTTATAGATCGTTTTGTTTGACCTATGTAAGAGAGACCACATTCACAATCTAGCTTATACACACCTGCATCCTGTAGAGGAATATTACATTTGATGGATGGTAAAAATTGACTAATCTTCTTCGGCGGCTTGTAGTATGTTTTAATGGAAGCTCGCTTCAAGATGTAGCCAATCTTGTCTATGACTCCTCTGATATATGGTAGTACAGCAGGCGCACGCTCGATTGTGGCTGGCTTCACTCGTTCACTGTGACGTAGGCGCGGGACCCGAATCTTGTAGTCTTGCAATACTTGCTTGACGTGTTGAAGCTCGGCGGCCAGATGTTTTCTGTCACATATCCCTTGTGCTCTCTGAAACAAAGATTTACCCACGGTAGCTAACTATGAAGGATGATGGTGAGATTAACCATTTAGATATCAGTTGGTATGGGTCTTTTTCCTATATACAGTGTGACCAATAGTGTTATCAGGATTTCGGATGACTAAAACATCTAGGAAGGCTAAAGAATTATTTGCCTCTAACTCCATTGTGAATTGTATTTTAGAGTTTATGGAGTTAAGGTGGTCTAAAATGCAGTTACTTTGTCAGATGGTAAAATTGTGAAAGTGTCGTCTACGTACCGCTTGTAGAACCTTGGATTTACATGAGCAGTAAGAAGGGCTTTCTCCTCAAAGTCCTCCATGAATATGTCGGCGACTATGGGAGACACAGGTGACCCCATCGCCACACCATCTACTTGCTTGTAGAAATCCTCCTTCCACAATAGATAGCCAGATGTGAGGCAGTGTTCAAATAATATTGTATATTCTTGAGGCATGTTATTTTCTTCCAGTTTCCTAGTTACAATTGAGATGCAATCAACAATATGTAGGCATGTAAATAGTGACTGAACATCATAACTTACCATAGTTTCATTGTCAGCGAGATGTAGGTCTTTTATCTCAATCACAAAATGGTATGAATTCTTTGTGTGTGCTCTGGTATGTCCTCTCAGTGGTGATAGTATTTTTTAGCTAAGTGTTGTGCCAGCTTATAAGTTGGTGAATCGATCTGGCTCACTATGGGACGTAGTGGAGCGTTTGGTTTGTGTATCTTCGGTAACCCATACAACGTCGGTGGTTTGGTGCATGATGGTATTAGCAAATTCACGTCGAGATTAAATTTTTCGGAGTATTTCTTTATTAATTCGATAGTTGTTTTAAGCGTGTTAGTTGTGGGGTCTGTTTTGGCCTTTTTATATGTACCTTCGTCCGATAAAAGTTGTTGTATTTTAAATCTATATTCCGACGTGTCCATTATCACCGTAGCATTTCCTTTATCCGCACGGAAAATCGTGAACTCTGGTCTGTTACGTAAGTTATTCAGCGCTGTAAATTCGTCTTTAGGAAGGTTTGGTTTCGGCACTGAACTACGACGTAACAAGGATGAAATATCTTGACGTATGGCCTTAAAATATTCCTTGCCGATATTATTCTTAAACAGACAATCCTCAGACGGATAATTTCTTCATACGAGATTTTTCGCGGTGTTAATGCGAAGTTCCCTTCGCTAATACTTTCATTGTCGGTTCGTCCAGTGTATTTTTTGACAAATTGTAGAGCGTGCATTGTTTACAGTTTGAGTCTATGGTCAACGGTTGTGTATCGTTCTGGCGTTGACTTGGATGTTTGGCATTTAATTTGATCGTTAATTTTTGGTATTTTTCTATTTGTTTATTTTTGCATTAATTGTATTTCGAGGTTTCCCGTTTGTTTAAAGTTTCGATGCATTTATTAAAATCAAATGTCGTTAAAATTGCCTTTAGTTCACTGGACAAATTGTCTATGGTGTTATTTATGAAATGTAAATCGAACCGTTTCTGCTGAATCACCGTTCGTAACAACTTTTTACTTGCCTGATTTAAGATCTTAGCGCTTCCTCGAATGTCTTTCTTTGTTGATATTTTGACACACGTAGGAAAAAAACAAATTAAAGTAATTAAACTCGATAAAATCCGTAAATAATAGTTTTATTCAATACATGGATTTTTATTTTAGTATAAATATATCGTGAATATTGTAGGATCATTACATCGGCTTTGACATTTTATAGTCGCTGGGACAACTCGCTAGGGATTCCACTGTCAAGGATCTAAGATATCCAATAAGCAAGTTATTTTACTTCAGTCAACTGTGATGTATGTGTATATGTATGACCTCTTCCGTGTATCAAAGTTTCAAATATATTTTTAACTATGTGCCTGTCTGAGTTGTACGTTTAAATCCTAGCTGGAGGCAACATTTATATTGAAAAATACGGAAATGTTTATATTTGTCATACATAACCAGCCGCAAACATATACAATTTAGGTTACCTTTGTCGTATATCGGCATATTTGGACGCTATAGTGTATTTTTCCAAATTGAACCTATAGCATAACTTTTACTTCTTTCACTTAAATAATTTTAACACGACAGGCACGTATTTCTTTCCATTAAGTGACGGCTGGCAAGCTACAGCTGGAAAACTTGCTCATACTCACGATATATTGTAGATGCGATACCTTCACAATGCCTCTCCCCTTTAATGTTGCAGAATTTCTGAGACAATTTCTGAGAGCATTACTCCACGCTGCTCCAGTGCATGTTGCCGGGCTTTTCGCGATGTTTCCATCACCAGTCAATCTTCATCCGTCAAACTTCATTTATTTGCTTGCGTTCTGTGATATTATCGGCGAGTGCCTGAAACCTAGGCTACCACGGCTCTGTTTTCAAAAGAATATATTGGGTAATATGTGAATATGGGTGAGAAAAGAGCACATATTGCACCTGATGCTAAGTGGATGCTGTGACTAGTAGACTTTTACATTTATCATGTGTTGTAATCCGTGAGAACTAAGATGAAATTAGTTTGTTAGTTGACCTATTTAGTTTCTGTACACTCACCATATGAAACAGTAGCATTAAGCTGCTATTTTACTCTGTTATTCTGTGAGAGCATGGTCCTTTCCCTGTCGAGTCCACCAATGCGTGCTTAAAACTTTTTAATTCCCGACTTTTCGGTTTTTTTTTATATATATATATATATATATATATATATATATATATATATATATAAATCTCACTAACCATCAAATTAAAAAGAAACAAAAACATTTAGTACGCAATTCTCTGTACGCGGTTCAACCTCAAAGTGTCCAGCGATTTGTGAGCAGTGAAACAGAAACAGGAAACAGAAACAAAACCTTTTTTATTCAATATAGATTGAAAAATAATACTTATCGAACGTCACTTTTTTCATTTACTACTGTTTCGCATAAAAAAAACCTCTATCCTGGGAAGAACCAGCAAGAAATCCAGCGAAACTATCTTTTTTTCAAATAATAGCTTACAATCACATAAAATATGTTACAATTAACAACACAAAACAAATTAGAAATAGCTTGGAAGCGATCCCTTCCCGGGGGTTATTATTATCCATAAAGTCATATTATTGTAATAACCCTTTTAATACAAACTTAGTATAATAAAGTTTTTGAACTTTGTGTATGTCAAATTTTGTATATTTTCTGGGATTTTGTTGTAAAAGCGTATACATCTCTCCAAGAATGAATTACTGACTCGGTGGAGCTGAGTAACCAGTTTGACCTACTTAGGCTCCATATCTGAAAAAAATAGCTTATACCCAAACAATACTCTTGAAAATATCTGTAATAATAAGATAAGATGGATATTAGTCAAAAATCGGGTATTTATAAACTTGATTGTGACGAATGGCATGCCGTTTGAGTGGGTGAGACTGGTCGTAACTTCGGGACACGTTATAAAAAGCATTTAGCCGCTTATAGAAATTGCAATCCTGCTAAATCGCAATAAGCTAAACATCTCTTGGATATTGGACACAACGTAGCCAACGACCACTCCTTTAAAGTCGTGCATACTTGTAATAAAGAGTTGCGACTACGTGTGCTTTAACTGTTAGAGACTTTAAAAAAAATGGTAACGTTGCACTGCTGAATGGACAAATAAATGTTTCTAACTTACCTCTTAAACATCTTTAATCCTCCATTCTAACAAAAAACAGCCTTGCAATATGGTCATTCATCACGCTTGCGGTGATTAGCGATTTGTTGCGTAGTTGGAGGGTAGGTGGATGTCCCGCGGTGATGACGCATGTCGCGGTCGCTCACTACTTTAGTGGGGAGCGGTTACGTCAGCGAGTTGTATAAACAGCAGCTGTTTCGGCTCACCACTTCATTCCGCCTGTGGCATCGCTTCCGAGCGGTTGCATCCAGGTAGTCCGTGCTTTCGTTCCTGTACGGTAGTGCTCCCCGCTCTCGCGCCCCCGCTGTCCCGCTCGCGCTGTACAGCGCCGACGCAGTGCTCAGTCCGCCGGCGGCACCGCTCTCGGACGGTCGCCTCCTGGTGGTCCGCGCTCCCGTACAGTACGGTAGTGCTGTCGCGCTCTCACGCGCCTCCGCTGTCCTGCTCACGCGGAACAGCGTCGAGGCTGCCGGTGAGTCACTTTTTCGCTACAGTTCTTGCCCCCCTGTCTTCGGGCAGGGAGGTCTGACTGACTTCCGCTTTTTCATTTTCATTTTTCATTTTCACTTGTCATTTCATTTCATTTTCATTATCATTTTTCAATTCTTTTTTTTTTACTGTCTCTTCTATTTTCTTGTGTTTTCTTGCATTTATACTTTTACTATTACGTGCATAGTGTGTTGTAGTACGTCCCGCGTCCTAGTCCCTGTTCTACCGAGAGCAGGGACCCGTCCTCATCTTTACTTTCTCATCTTGAGCTTCTTATCCTTAGCTCACTCAACCTAAAATGGCCAACTCCAGTCTTACTGAGTCCCTAGCCGCCCTCATTACCCAATATGGGTTAAGTGGCAATGAGACGGTCCTCACCGCCATCGCCACCATCGCCGCCCAGGCTCCCATCCCTGCCCCTCAGGCACACCTCCCGCCGCCAGTACTAGCGGCATACCTCGAAACGAGGAACTCCTTTGCCCCGCTACAAGCAGCCCCCTTAGAAATGGAGTACGCATGCTCCGAATCCTCGGCGTCTACCTCCCGGAAGAGGCCCGCCACTACCTTAGGCTCCGGTTCATCGGAGTCCTCTGACTCTGACGGAACCGGTGAGTCAAACTTCACCACCGTCACCTCCAAGCGCAACGGAAAGCGCGCCGCTTTGAAACGCACCCCCCCTACTTCAGCGGCCCCTGCCGCTCCTTCAACCTCCGCAGCCCTTGACGCTGCCCCCGTCCCACTGATGTCACTAGACGTCCCCACTCCATCTAAACCAGCCTCTCGTTGTGATCCAGAGCTGGCGAAGAAGCAAGTCCCGCCCCCTGTCTTCCTAAGAGACAAGGCCAAGTTCACCCAATTGTCCAAGACCTGCTACGACGCAGGGATTAAATACGACCACGCCGTCAACCTCGGGGAGGCGATTAAAATCATCCCAACCTCGATCGAGGACTTCCGCGCCATCACCCGGCTATTCACAGCCGAAAGGGTCTCTTACCACACCTACGCTCTCCCTGAAGAGCGTAAAGTCAGGGCCGTCATCCGAGGCGTCCCCTTTGAGTTCTCCAACGAGGAAATCCTCGAGGACCTTAAGTCCCAAGGTTTCCCAGTAGAAGCAGTGCACAAAATGCACAACCGTACGGGCAAGAGATACAACCTTGCCCTAGTAATCTTGTCCAACGTGCCGGAGGCTAAAGCCATCTTCCGGCAGGTGCGCACAGTGTGCGGCCTGTCAAGGGTGAAGGTAGAGCCCCCACATAGGCCCGGTTTCCCGGCGCAGTGCCACCGCTGCCAACTTTATGGTCACGCGGCGGCCAACTGCTCCGCCCCACCCAGGTGTGTGAAGTGCCTGGAGCCACACAACACTAAAGAGTGTCCCCGGCCCAAAGACGCCGAATCCCCGCCCGC